GATATCGACATGCACTTGCATACTTCCGCGCCAGACTGCCAGCAAGCTCCGTCGCAGCTCGGATTGCCGTTGATTTTCTTGATAGCCGCTGCCGCAGCCGGAAATGTTTAGGGTTTAGGGGTTTAGGGTTTAGGGAAGGGAATCGTCACGCGAACGTTCAGTTCATGCGCTCTTGGATGAGCGTAGAAGGCGGGGAGGGGGGGGGGGGGGCTGGCCACTGGCCGTAGCATTCGGCCTTGGGCTCGACCTCGTCGTAAGCACCCAGAGTGCCCAATACCCCCTAATTAAGGCATATAGCTTAAATCATAATATGAAGCCCTATATACTTAAAGCCATATTTGTTAATTAAGGAATATAGCTTGAATCATAATATGAAGCCCTACATACTTTAAGGCTTATCTGTTAATTAAGGGGTATTTTCGCTCTCTGGGCAGGGCCCAGCGGTCCGGTCGGATGCCGGATCGGCGGCGAACTCGGCGCATTGCTTTCCAAGGTTAGCTTCCCGCGCTTCCTTCTTACCCCAGACCCCCGGGAGGATCCAAAAAGTAGATCCCTTAATGGGGGTTCCTATAAAGTACCCTTAGTAGTATAGGGATCTATAAGGGATATACAGAGGTTTAGGGTTTAGGGTCTACTTGGAGGATCATGGGACTTAGTAGTAAGTTAAGTACTAAGTCCCATGATCCTTTAAGTAGGATTTGCCGAGCCCGAAATCTCAACCCTTAAGCCTACAATCGGATTTCTCCAAACTCCTAAGAACCGTGAAGCCCTATACCCTGAACCCATCAAATCAAGAGCCTGACACGTAAATCCTGCCCCCAAACACCATTACCTAGACCACTTTTTCAAGGCACTTACTTTCGGGATACCTAACTCCCGGATTAAGGAAAAGCAAGCTTACTAACCAGGGCCCTGAACGTCCAACCTCACGACCGTATGACCCCGAAACCCAGACCGAAATACAATACAGAACCGTTATAGAACCTTTACCTGAAACCCAGAACCCTAAATTTTACACGAATAGCCACATAGGCTAAAAAGCCGTACCTCAAACCCCCAACCACTAAACAGAAACCCTTCTAGAACCCCCATCCCATACCCTTCTAGGAAGCTTCTCCCTAAACCCCAAGACCCCCCTGGAAAACCATCAACCCTAAACCCCCAAACCCCTAAAACTCTTACCCCTAAACCCTGAACCCCCTAAACCACTAAACCCCTAAAGCCCTAAACTCCCCAAGCTCTGAACACCTTAAACCCCTAAAACGCTCAACCCTAAACCCCGAACTCCCTAAACCCCTAAACTCCCAGCCCTAAACCCCCTGAACCCCTTAAAGCCCCTGAAACCCCCTGAAAAAGCCCTAGACCACCTGGACCCCCTCAAAGCCCCCCCGTAAAGCTCCCTAAACCCGCGGGGCCTCGGAAGCGATACGACCCAGATCGCAGTCGTTGCAGGTGTTCTCACCAGGAAGCCTTGGGGACGTAGTAGAAGCCTTAAGGGGGTCTATAGGGATTCCTTACAAGGGTTCCTTTAAGGGGATCTATAGGGGTTCTTACCAGGAAGCCTTGGGAGTGTCGGCTGGGACGTACGGTTGGTGATACAAATCCTGCACTACCTTAAGGCCCCTAAACTATGGGAATATTGGTACATTCCTTGTTCTGGGCCATGCAGGATTTATATCATCAACCGTAGTAGAAGCCTTAAGCTAGATCATTGTTGGGATAGGATTAAAAATGTACATTTTTATTCCTTATTGGTTCAAGTACCCATAAAAATGTAAAATGTTACCCAACTATGACAAAGTAAGGGGGTCTATAGGGATTCCTGATAAGGGTTCCTTCAAGGGGATCTATAGGGGGTTCTGAAAGGCTTCCTTTAAAGGGATGTATAGGAGTTTTTGAAAAGGGTTCCTTTAAAGGGGATCTATATGGGTTCTATGAGGGTTGTTTAACGGGATCTATCGGGTTCCTTATGAGGGTTGCGTTAAAGGGGACTTAGTAAGTAGGTAATAAGTAGAAATAAAAGTACCTTGGGGCTAAGGTATGTGTAAGTCCGTAAACGAACTGCTTACTCATCCTCCGACCCGCCCAGTAAGGTAGCTGGGAACCCTAAACCCCTCCCCTGATAGAACCCTTATAGCTCCCTTTCGGAACCCTTTAAGGAAATCTAGAAAGATACCCGACCTACTACATCCCCCGACCCTGCAAGTACAGGGTTTCCGGTAAAAGCTCTGGGGGCTCTGCTCGGTTGCAAGGTAAGGAACTTAGGGGGTCCTTAAAAGGGACCTGTAAGGTGGAGGGTTCAGGGTTCAGGAGCTTAGGGTTCAGGTTTTCTAAGGTTTATGGGGTTTGGGGTTTAGGAGGGTCGGGAGACTTAGTAGAACCCTCAAGGGGATCTTAAAAGGGACCTATGAGGATTCTACTTTAATGGGTCTTGGGATGTCAGGAAGGGTTCCTTTAAAGGGGTTTAGGGTTTTTGGGGTTATGTAGTAATAACTACTTATAAGGGTTTCTTAAACGGGGTTAGTGTTAGGTTTTTTCTGGGTTTAGGGTTAGTTGGAGGGTCGGGCAACTTACCAAGTACTTACTTTGCAGGCTTAGAAGTATCCTTACCCTGATAAAGACCCTTTTAGGATACTCGTAAATCTACTTGGTGCCTACCTACTGAATACCCTGACCCTCCAAACATGGCTCGTTATGCGGATTCCTATCAATGAAGGTCTGGTATCTGGGAATCCTTGTGCAAGGATGGGGCTACTGGCGTCTTCGTAGGGCCACCGGTTATGTCAGAGTCAGTAGCCGAGTTGCTGCTAAACTAGACACAAATCCCTTATAAGTAGTTATTACTACATAACCCCAAAATCCCTAAACCCCTGTAAAGGAACCCTAGACACAAATACCCGGAACATTTCCACAGCCCCCCAAAATTTTCATAATCAGGGCTCTACATTGAACAATAAGGGAGATTAAAGACTATCGCATATCGATACCTATGAGCTTCGAACCTACAGGAGCGATGCAAGCCCTAAACCGTGAACCCGGGGGAGTACTGTAGGGGCATAGATATTTGTATTTTGGGGGTTCCTTATTATACTTATAGTATTATGGGCCCCAAAACCCTATTATCATTACTCAGGCCCTTATCTTATTGCAGAGGGGTTTGCACTAGGAGGTATGCTTCGAGCTCGATTTGAAGACTCAGGGCATGTTAGCTTGTGCAAAAGAGTTGAAGCTTCGGACTTGGGTATCGGGTTTAGGGCAGTTTAGGGCCGTTTAGCGTTTATAGTCTAGGACTCAGGCTTAGGGTTACGAGCTAGAATACAACTTGCAATTCGGGTTGAAAGTGCCCCAAACGGACTGCATTACCCTAAAGACCCTAAACTAATTATGGGAATTATGGTATATTCTTCATTATGGGCACAGCAGGATTTATATCATAAACCGTAGCACTCTGAACAGGCTCGGGGGAAGATCGTGATACAAGGGAACATGGTAGCTGTCTAAGCGTCTACATTAGGATACAAGGTGGGGTTGCAGGTTACGTAGCCCTCCCTGACCCTTGAAGCACCCATGCTGCCCCAGTCTTCCGGGCTCTTCTTTTGTATAGAAGCTTTGAGTCTCAAGGGGCTTTCTAGTTTATGTCACAACTCAATCAAGAATCCTGGGTTGTATGGTTCTAATTAATATAGAGACCTTAGCAATTTGAATAGGGCTTTGGGATCATAATTCTTCAGTGCCCCCTCCCCCCCCCCGCAAACATAGTATAGGTAATTAATTATGTAAGCCCCTATACTAACCAGACCCAACTGAACCAAGCAGCTGCTGTGTGCCTTTTTGCTCTCAGATGAGCATGCACGGGCGAGAAAGCATGAGCAAAGAGCTAAACTCTATACGGTTGAAAATTCAGCAAGATTTCGGAGTGAGTCTTACAGTTCCAGACGACCTCCCTTGAATTCTGCGATCATGCAAGCTCCGGACAAATTGTGCGCTTGCAAGGATTTGTTTGTCGGTTTGCAGCACCACCGCAATAGTTGCAGCAACAAGGAAAACCAACAGCAACAGCAACAACATGAGCACTGGCAATAGTAGTAGCAAGAAATCTTATGATGATCGTAATAGTAGTGATCAGAATGTTTGCAACGATGCTAAGAGAAATGTCAGAAATGAGACTTAGCCGAAGACAAGGTCATGAGCCAGATAATTGGGCGCATAGCGACAGTATCTGTTATGCAAAATGACAATAACAATACCAAGAACGATAACAGTACCAAGAACACCAACAACCACCGCCACCACCACCGCCATCACCACCACCAACAACAACACAAACACGACAACAACACCAATAGGAACAGGAACAGAAGCACGAACTGCAACAGCATCAGCAGCAGCAGCAACAGCAGCGGCAACAACAAGGTGCAACCGTACACTGGGGCCCCATGGCCTTTTTGGTTGTGGTTGCTGCCCCCCCGGTGCAACCGTACACTGGGGCCCCATGGCCTTCTTGGTTGTGGTAAATTATGTCATACCACGCCTTCTTAAAAGTAAGAAGCGTTGTTGGAGAGGTTAGTTCGGCAGCTCTTTCTCTGGCTGCACACAGCTCACATCCTCAACTTTGCAACGTTACTGTCGTCGTCCCGAACGATTGTCTGTCGTGGGTCATTGGGTCTGTCACTGTCGGTATGTGCGACACTGCCAAAGACATTTTTCTTGTCGTAGTGCCGATGTTTGAGCCGAATTTGAACCTTTTTCTCTCGGGGTGAAACGTGTCTCCTTTTGGACGTTGGAGAAAGGAAAGTCACAGTCGGACATGGCTATATGTACACGTTCTCGTACTGGCACAGAATAGAGAGGAGTGAAACTCAATAGCACTGGCTGCTGGTCGAGAGCCCACAATCGCTCTGTTGCCTCAGGATTCCGCAGTCGCTTCAGCAGAATCGCCACGCAGAAATCCTGCCAGCCCAACTCCACACTCTTTTGCGTTAGGATTCCCCAGCCGCGTCATCAACAATGCCACCCAAAAGTCTTCCCAGCACAGCTTCATTCCGCTCGGCCCCTTCGGGCCATCGAGCGATGGCAAAAGTTGATGGGAACGTTTGAAGAAGGCGTTCGAAGTCGGGTTGGCGAATGCATCTCTGTCCCTGCAAACTGTCCACATGCCACAAAGCATCCGCATGCTTTGCGACACAGGTCCAATGCGTGTTATCGTGGTTCACCAGGAGACCGACAATCTGCTCGGTACCAAGAACAGCATCATAGGCAGCCGCAGAGACGGGTTGAAAGACTCAACCAAGGCGCCCTTCGCGCACACGATGCAATGCCTCTGCCAAAACAGAGTGGCTATACCAGCCTTCCGGGCCTATGTGATCGCTGGGATCCTCACCCGTCTCTTCCACGACGGCAACTGCCACTGTCTCCAAATCCTCCGCGGCGAAGAGTTGCTGACCCAGGCAGTTGTTGAGAGCGTGCATGCCGCAGCGGCCCGCTTCCTGGCTTTCGAAGTACCTGTCCGTCAAAACAGACAAACTTCCTGTGTAAACCCTAACGTTACAGTGCTTACGTGAAAATCCAGACAGCGCCCTCCCCGCCTGTCGTTCCATCTGGGCAAATCCTGGGGGGGATCGGCCGGCACCACGGCTCTGGAATCTGCTTGCATATAGTCCCTGGCCGCCACACAGAAGCGCTGCCATCTGTCGCTGGTGTGTAGAACCCGTTTCCACTGCGCCTCCCGAATGTACTCGGCATAACGGGCACGCTCCTCCTCCGTCCGTGCTGAAAGGCCATGTGGCAACAGATCTTTGAGGTGCCCCCACTCCCTGTCGACCAACTGCGTGCCCGCCATGCCGGGCCTCCGCTCCCGTGTGGAAACATTTTGCAGCACTGAAACCGAGCGAGAGAACTCGTGCTCACTGTGATTCACAGTGTGCTTTTCCACAATGCCAGGAACGTCGACGGAAGCGTAGGCCTGTGCGGAGTCGGTCATGAGCACGACATTCGCATCCTCATCGAATACCTTCTCGCAGGTTTTTCGCCAAGCGGCTGCGGTGAGTGGAGGAACACGGGGCTCGCCATGCGACACAGTCACTCCCAGGCTCTCCAAGTAGAAATTCGAAGGGTTGCCCCTCTGAATGACGCCCAACCAGACGTACCAGTAATACGTCCTGGCCCCGGAGGAATCATTGACGATGCTCCAGCTCTGGAATTGGGACTCGTCAGCTTCGACATCGATGGTCTCGCTGCCCTTGCCGAAGATCATGACGTCCTGCAAGCGGAGGATGTCCCAGACCATAATTTGCCGGGCCGTGCGATACCACCTTGCAAAGGTCGAAAGATGTCACAACCCCAGGTTGTTATTATACATGAGATGCACTGTACAGTTACATATAGTCATTCTTTTAAGCACAGCCAAAAAGCCTCGACACGACCTTCTCGTCCACGGCGAGCTGATGAACTGTGTGGGTAATTGAAATCCCTTCCACACAGTTCCACAAGGCCAGGATGGTCAGGGACATGGAGTGCTGCCCTGCTCCGCTGCCCACAAAAAGCGGGTTCCCCGCGCTGATTGTCACTCGCTTGCGGCAGCACTGGCAGCGGTAGTGAACGGCTCTGCGCGTCATGTTGGGCTCGTTTTTCTGCCCTTGACGAAGCGGCCCGAGGATGGACTCGCCGCCGAAGCCCTGAGATCCAATGTCGCTGCATCCCCAAGAATCCGTTTACCAGGGCATAACAAGGTAACATCACATACAAGAGAGTCTTCCTGGAGGCAAACCTGAAATGTAGGCAGAGAACCCGAGAACAAGCGCAGTGACCGTTTCATATCTCCCGACGAGTGGCCTTCTGCTCGCCGCACTTTGGATTGGTGCAGCGTGTTCCTTCCAGATTCTGGAGGAGACCATCCTCGATGAGGGCCAGCGCTAGCTCCATGGGACTCATCCGGGCAAATGTAAGGAAGTCCCTGGACAGGGTCGCCCGACTCCGCTGCCTGGACTTGTTGATGTAGTCCGTGCTGCGCTGATGTAGGGCCGTGTATTTCAAGCGGGCAACGAGACGCGCCTTGCGGCGGTTTTTCTCCAAGGCGGCATCCTTGGCTTTGCGCTGGTCAGCGTCACTCGGGGCAGTCCTCTGAGGACATGTTGGTGCCCGATGATCGCAGGACCCACAAATAGAGCAGTGGGATAGGTGCACAACTGCCCTGGATGCCGTCTGCCGTTGTTTGCCCTTCTTCCTGCCCTCACTGGCCTGCGTACTCTGTGTTGCCGTGGCTGCAGTTGCTGGCTCCCGCAAAGTGGCTTCCCCGCCTCCGCCACCTGAATCTGCCGCAACTTGCGCACTTCTGGAGCAAGAGGCGTGGGCAATGCCTCCGCGTGCTTCTCCAAGACACGCCTAGCAGCCGCCTGAGCAGCTTCTTTAGAGTCGGCGAGCAGGGACTCCAAGCGACCGCTTTGCTCCAGAGCCCGCTGCAGAGTGGGCCGGGCCTTGTGTGCGTTCTGCTGCACCATGATGCCCAAATATTTTGAATCAACGGCGTCCACCTCATCCAGGGTGAGGCCTCTGTGCTTGCCGAAGTCCATCCGGAAGACCTGGGAGACGGTTTGCGACGCTTCCCGTCGGCGACGCATCTCCTCTTGGCGGTCTTCTGCCAGCCTGCGCTTCTTCGCCTCCTGGCCAATCTCCTGCTCCTCGCGCCACCGCTGAGAAAGGTTGGCCTTCTCCTCAGGCGTCAAGAGACGCAGATCGTGGCCTGTGCGGTACTTGTGCGCATGGCCCTCACGCTTGACAACCATGCAAACGCTGCAGTAGCGAGCCCGCGAAAGCAGGTTAGCCAAAGGTTGCGGGACTGCCTGCTCCATATTTGGTGGAGAGCTGGGAAGGACCGAAGGAACAGGTTCAACAGGCCTGAGCAAGAACACCTGCGATCCCTGCAGGCCCTATATATACTCGATCGAGTAGAAGCAAATCTACAACACCTGAGAACTCGTCGAGGTGCCATCATGCCACGTGATGCAGCGGTATGAAGTCGAGTGAAGTCGTCATGGCGTCGTCTTTCTTCGGTTTCTGCACGCGTCTTTCTGTGCAAGTCTGTGCAACGATGCACACCTCGTTCCTGATCTGACACACTCTCTCTCTCTCTCTCACACACACACACACACTGAGACTGACTGACTGACTGTGCGGGCACGGGCAGTAGATAGCGCATGTTCTGCGTGCGCGCGGGCTTTCTTCTGTGCGCGACACTTTGTGCTGGGAGCTCGCGGCACACGCGGATGTGCAAGCTGGCGACGTGCGCGCAAACGAGCTGTGCGTGCACGCATGCGCACAGGCGCACACACGTATAGAGTGTGCGCGCTGGCGCGGGATCGAGAGCAGCATGCCGAGGAACAGCCTTCGCCAAAACTCAGCGACTTTCAGCCGCGGGCATTTTTTGCAGTGTGTGTGCCCAGCCCTTTGTACATCTTCACATGTGAGGCCTCGGCTGGCTGCAACCTCAACCCTGAACGGGCTCGACCCCAAAAGAAATGCTTCCCAGCAGCAGGAGGAGGCGTGCTGAGCTCATGTCTCAGACGGACGCTTTGCACGGGAGCGGGTTGTGCGCACACGGGTGTGCACGGGATGGGTGTCTGCGCCCGCACAGGAGGGATGCGTGCGTGGGGAGGGGGGGTGGGGGGGGGGGGTGGAGGGGGGGTGGAGGGGGGGTGGCGGGTTGGGGTGGCGGGTGGGTTGGGTGGCGGGTTGGTTGGGGGGGGGGCAACAAAAAGGCCATGGGGCCCCAGTGTACGGTTCCACCAACAACAACAATCAACAACAACGACACCAACACCAACACCAACACCAACACCAACACCAACACCAACACCAACACCAGCAACAGCAACAGCAACAACGACAGCGACAACATCAACAACTACAACTCCTTTGACAGGCTTCTGATACAGGAGCCTGAAAAACTAAAACGGGGTTCCTTAGGGCTGCCCTAGGATTCCTTTCATATATTTGTACTGGATTATACCCCCAACAACCATTCTTGTTGTTGAAGCCTCTGTATTACCTTTGTGCGTACAGGTTCATGTGGGGTAACTGCAGGGTGCGTGATAACCAGACAACCTCGAACCCTACTTGTTCATATTGAACAGTGTCAATACGCAGAACCTCAAATCTAAAACGGCAAACGGCATACGTAGAAGTGCCAGTGGCAACCTAGAAGTGCCTCTCCGTCGAGAGCTCTGCAGTAAGGTTATCCAAACCCCTTTAAACATCGAACGAAAACGGCCTAGCGTAGTGCTATATAACAGCAGGATACCCTCTTTGGGGTTTCATTTTGCGGATCTGTTAAGGAACCTTATCAGATCTGCCGCACTCGCTCACCCAGCATGGGCAGAACTTGCTTCCAGTTGACCTCTGTGGCTGACATGTGGGACCCAAGCATTAGGGTTTACTTGGAGGATCATGGGACTTTGTAAGTAGGGTTATAAGTACCCTAATTGGGGTTGTAAACAATGTTAAGTATAGTTGCCCTGATTATGACCCTAGTTACTAAGTCCCATGACCCTTTAAGTAGGGTTTAGGGAGCCGATAAGCGGTCTGCAGTTAAATAGTCTGAACAAGGTTGTAGGGCTGTAGTATCGCCGTACAGGGACCAGAAAGGGACTGTAGCAGTATAACCAGTTTGTTACGGCACTGTTTAGCTTCATTAGCTCCTGGGATGGGTTTAGGTAGGGTTTCAACTTTACGGATCAATTTCGGAATAATTTTGGGCAATTTCCAAGCCCCAATACGGGCCTGAAGAAGGGGGACCTCACAGGAACTTCCGCCAAGCTAGAAGCACAAATTCGACCTGGCCGCATTGAAGTCGTCCTCGGTGATTTGGTCCAAGGGGGCCAACCCCTCAACCAGCATGTCCTCAGGTGCAGGGGGGTTAAAGCACAGGCAAGTCACTATTCTTATGGTAAGTATTATCAATCGTTATTCTTCTTATTGTGGTTACTACTACTAGTACTACCACTTGCAGTACTACGTGTCTACCTTTATAACACTGTCTCGGGCTGTAGAGTACCGAGTTTCAGGGCGGCTTAGGGGCTGAGGGATGTAATATAGGGGCCTCAATGGTTAGAATAAGGTTTTGGGGCCCACTATACTCTAATTATAATAAGGCACCCCCAAAATGGTGTAGGTAATTATTTAGGCCCCTATATTAGGGTGGCAATGGTTGAAGTTTCCCAGGGGCTTTGGCTCGCTTCTCTTTCTTTTTCGCTTGAAGACTTTGCAGCAAGTAGGTTGAAAGTGTGGGTGATAAGTACAACCAGATAGGTAGATCGATAGATAATAGAGAGGATGATGGGTAGATAAACATATATGTATGTATGTATGCATACACATGTGTATGTGCATATGTATGTAAGTATGTACGTACTTATGTAAGTATGTACGTACTTATGTAGGTATGTATGCATGTATGTATGTGTTATTAAGGCTCACAGCGACACTGTGTGTAGATTGTGGCTTGCCCCCCCCGGGGTGTGGGCTGCCTGTTCTTCGGGGCTTTGGGTCTTTTTTGGG